TTTAATTTAAAATAAATATAAATGTTTTGCATTCAATTTATAATTTATTAAATTATAAACTAAATTATAAATGAAATTACATCATTGTATTTCTTTTTCATATTTCATCCCAGTCAGAGGAATGAAGGGAAGAAACTTCAACGCGCTTTTTTCCCTTGTTTGTTTGACTGGGATGAAATATGAAAAAGAAATACAATGATTTTATCACATCTATTATTTAATTTATATTTAATAAATTACATAAAGAAAATAATTAATATTTATAATAAATTAATTTTTTCATAATTTTTATTTAAAGTAAATTTAAATCACCGATAACCTAGAAGTTACTTACTGTCTTAAGAAGAGTGATGACAAAACAACGGTGCTTATATTGTTCTTTCCTGTTTGTGTTCGAGTAAAATGGAAAATGATATAAACAATGTTTGATGAGTTAGTGAAAACAGTTATTTCCCAACAAGATTCCTGTAGATAAAGCCATAGAATAATAAAAATAGAAAAGAATGTTTTTTATATATGAAAAGACTGGTACACTCAATAACAGAAAAACGACAGATGATTGTATTTCAATAACTACTGTCCGGTCAACATATTTCTTGCGTGAGAAATTTTTTAGAAGCTCTAAATCATTACACAGTTTTAGGTTCTCGAAACTCCACTAATCGTCTCCATGAAACGACAATAATTTATCATCACATATATAATTTAAGCATATAAAAAGTGAGAAGTCAAGCCCAGATTCCACTCTAGACGCTTATGTTGTCGAGTCGAATTCAAATCAATGATGACAAATGTTACATTTGGGTTACATCCGAATAGGCAGTGATAGAAAGATTGTTGGTTTTGAGAGATAGCACATGATTCATAGGCTAGAAGGATATATTTAGCAGACTTATTTTATAAAATGTGCATGTAGAACTTCATGTCACTCTCCTTGTTTTACACTTACCAAGGGGGAAACGGCGGACTTTTGGGATTGCCAATCCCTTGAAATCCATATAAAATCCGTAAAATCCGTAAAATCCGTAAAAAATCTGTGAAATACGATAAAAATCCGGAAATCCGAAAAAAATCCCAGAAATCCATGAAATACAGTATTTTAAGTCAGTCAGATATGAAGAATATGTTGTTTGTTTGATATCGATGAAGTCATATTTTTGTATATCTCACTTTAAAAAATTGCTTTTGTTGAATACATTCTGTCTAAAACATAACAATCTTACGAGATACTGCGTAAACTAGAATGTAGAACACCTTGTGACAACATGTCTAAAGACAAAAGATTTGACAATATGTTTGCTATATATGTAACTATCTGGATGATCTGTTATCTTCGGTACAAAAGTACGGAATCTGAATTCTTCTAAAGAATAATTTGCAAAAGAATTTACCAAATGTATGTATAATAGAGAACTTTTCAGAATTGCAAATACTCATCGATATATCGTTTAACTTTCTCATTATAACCTAATTAGGACAACAATTTATTTCTCATCAAACTCATGAAAAAAACTTCAAATTCTAAAATACGCATCATTATATATTTTCTATATATCTTATTTATTTAACATTAGTGTCAATCAATGCCTTTGCAGGCTCTTGACACATCCATCTTACCATCTGATGCTCTCTCTTTCTACGATAATAGTTTTTACGATTTGGTGAAAAATATTGCAGGAACAACTGAAGCAAAATTACTTGAAATTCAAGGTATTAGAAGTGTATATTCTTTTCTTCATACAGATGACATCTTTGAAATTCTTACAATTAAATGTTCTGCTTTAAATGACATCAAAGCATCGATTTGTTTAGAAGCAGATGATAAAACTTTCATTGTCAAACCAGGTTATCGAAGCAACATCCGATACCTTTATAAACTTTTACATCAGAAACATGAAGAACATTTAAAGGAAATGTCTAGTAAGCCTAAACGTAATAAACAGTCGATGTCTCAACAAAATACGAATAATCTTATTGATAATATCCAACATTCAATTCAATCAAGTTGAACATCTTCTTCTCGGCAAAATCATACAACAGCATCGAGTTAGTTTGATTGTAATTTTTATTTTTATTCTATTAGGTGGCTCTTTGCATACTAAATTGACAGCTATTGTAAAAACTTTAAGGAGTCAGACGCTTCTACAAACAAAATTTTTTATCCTGTTGAAGATGTTTACTATATGAGCAGAAATGATTTTTAATTTGATCCTATCGATAGATGTTAATGTAAAGGAAAATAATTCTACTTTATTTTGAATAAAATTGTTGTAGCAATTGAAATATGAGCTATCAACTTTGTAATTAGATTTCAGATACCTTCTATATCATCCCCCAACATTATTAGAAAAGAACTGTTAGTTTGATTTATTAGTCGTTAGTTTAACCATATTTCCAATTCATTGAGAAATAAACAATTATTAGAATTAAATATATTAATTTAGATAATTCGACCACAATTAATCGTCATGATTTTGCAATTCATACGTTAAATGAATGGATTAACAAACAAGGTATTAAATTTGGTATTCCAAATGTGAAATTAACTGAAAATGAAGACTTTTGGCTTTTAATTGGTGATGATGAAACTGATACACCACCATCTATATCATGTTCGTGTGGAATTAAGGTTCAGCTGGGTGTTATTCGTGGAAGCATTTCCTTGAGCAATTATTATAAACATTTAAAATCAAAGTCGTGTATTATCAAGAAGAAAATATCGAAACACATCAATGGTGAATCGTCCAAAATTATCGATGACGAATCTTCTGATGCTGAAACATCACAAAATAATTCAAAGTCTAAAGATATACAATGTCTAACATCAGTCAGTACTATGAATGAACCTGCAACTATAAGTAAATCAAATAAACGAACAACTGATCAAGATAATAATAGTTTATCGAAAAAAAAACGTATTTAATAATGTATTTATATGTATACATGTCTTTATCA